ATATATTATTAGTATATATGTACATAGGAGGATATAGGGGGTGACATACAGCCAAAGAGCCACAGGTGGATTCAAACCCATGCTGGCTGCAGCGAAGGACACAGCCTTGGTACGTGGGGCCCCTGCCGCTCTGCCAGGAGAGGGATATCAGGACACCCCAGATAACACCTTTTCAATTTCACCTGACTCATAGTACTTGGTTGTTTTCTGGGGTCTTTGGGCATATAATGAAAGTGAAATTGTTTAAATGTGTACGGTGAGCAGTGTACTTAATGGGACTTTAAAGATAAGAGGGTACATGAACAAGGCCCCCAAAAACCCCTGACAGCATTTAAATCAGCACAAACGGTTCTCTTCTCAATTGCAGATGACATTTAGACTCATTCATGGAAAACATTCTAACATGTCACAGCAGGAAAAGCACAGATGTAAAATAATACAATTATGATGGCGCTGAATTACTATGTATGACACACTCCAACCCCAACAATACTTGCACAAGTGGGGCATGAGAGCGACCCAGCTTAGAGGCAGGAGAAGAAAAAAGAAACGCAACCACTTCGGAGAAAAATCATCCAGTTTGTAAAGGGAGGGGAAAGCCACCAACCACAGCAACAACAAGAACCAGTTGCTACTACAAAAGGCCCAATATGGGATATGAAGGTCGACTTGGGAGGAACTGGCAGTTCCCCCAGATTGGTTCCAGACAACCCTGAGCCCGGAACTTGTGGTACTGTGTTGAAGAGGCAAAAAAGATCATCCTCATAGAAACTTACAGTCCCATGGGAAGATTGGGGTGTGAACAGGCCTTGGAAAAGAAAGGAGCGCCCAAATACAAGACCTTCTGCATGGACTGCAGGGGGAAAGGATGGCGGGCATGCTGTTTCCGGTCGAGGCTCGGCTGTAGAGGATTCCCTGCTCAGTCAGGTGTGGAGAGAAAATAGCTCACAGCCATTATGAATGACGGGGAAAGAGAGAAAGAACAGCAGCTCGCAGGATTTTGGGGAGGCAGCGGAAAGAGCCTCGTTGCTGGTTATGGAGCAGAGAGAGATTAAGCTGGAAACCAGGAGGGGACAGCATGGGCAGTGACTTGCCACCACTGCCGACCCAACCATCGGAGGGTGTTGCGGATGAGGTCGAACACCCCAATGAAGATGTGTTACCGCCTGGATGACATCAACCCTCTCCTGGCCAAGGCTACATTCACTTAAGGTGAATGAAGATGAGAAGCATCTTCAGATGTATTTGTAATCTATAGTCTGCTTCTGTTTAACAGAGCAGATCAGTTGTTAATTATAATATATAAAATTTAAAAAATGTCTGCTGTGAAAAAGGCCTATTATGATTATTTGATATTTTTAGTGCACCTAATAATCAAATTCTGGGTTAGAATAGTCAACATAAACTGTGTCCTCCACTAGATTTTGGAAAATCATCATCAAAACCCCATGGGAACATATAGTGGAAAGATCCAGAAAAAAAGTGTACAATAAGATTATTTTGTCAAACTAAGATTTCCAAGGTGAAGAATAAAGTTTAGCAGACAAATAATGAAAACTATTTGTATTTTGCCAGTTTGTTAGCTCACAACTCAACTGACAAGCTGACAGGCTACAGTATTTTCGTTATTTTCACATAATAGGACATTCAGCACAAATATATTCATTGCAAAAATCAACACTGTTCAGTCTTGCATTACTTAACTTAAACTAAAGCTTCGATATCAGGTTGGGAGAGTGCTGTGAACAAGTGTTACATGTTAAATGTTTTTTGGCAAAAAGATCTCAAGACAAGATTTGTGAATGAAATATACACAAACAGGATTTATTTTTATTGCTTACTTGAACATAACTTACACATAAATAAAAAAAGAACAATTACATCAAATGAAATGTAAATGTTGGGAAATATTAGCATCCATCTGCTGTTCTTATACTGTAATACGATAGCTTACATTATATGAATTTGTCTTTATTGAATATAATGTGAGCTGCCCCTTATTCACTATAGTCATTTGGGTATTAGAATATAAAATATTTAAAACACACACACACACAAATAGACAATAATGTATCACCACACAGGAATTAAAAACAGTGAAAAGAAAACTTAAATTCAGACTGATATTCATACTTAATTAACATTTTGTTATGACTTTTGCTTCTCAAAAGGAATCGATATTTAAATTAACATGCACTTAACATGAGAGTACATAAAGCTCACATCATCAACACCATCTATAGGTAAGGTGACTTTAATATCAAAAAGTGATTTCGATCCGAAAGCGTATGTTGGTAATTTTCACCCACACTCCAGTAATTATCACAGCCACAATTACTTACTGTTCTTCTGAGAACTCGCTGGTCGTCCTGTAATTTCTCAACAGGAATAGCTGCTAATCTTATCAGCTCAGTGCGAAATGGGACTTTTGTGTAAAAACGGAAGAATATGTTTTTGCTAATCTGACAGACACATGGCCTATTTGGAAACCAAAACGACAATGTAAAAAAAATGAAAGCTATCAGGAGCGCAAGGCCCTGTAAAAGCTCATGAAATGGGCTGTTATTATGTCGGTTACTGTAGGTAAAAGTTTTCGCTTTTGGCTTGTCCTGCAAAATGTTTATTACGGACCACATCCTGTAATTCCGAATCTAGAACAAGTTAAAGTTAAAGTTAAATTTACAAGGAGCACAACATTTTATCTACTGATTGGTCCTTTGAATGTATTTATTTTTACTTTATTGAACCCACAAGTTCATATGATGAATATGGGAGAGATCTGATTTGTCCCCTGAATGACTTAACATTTATTGGTAATCAAATTTCACCTCCTTGAATAACTTCATGTTCACCAGCAAGGATTCATATTCATTTAATTGCACTTGAGTGTGTATCCGTAGCAGTTGTGTGTGCTTACAGTTGTGGTGGCTCTTGGTGACGCTGTCTGAGTCCAGGGCGTGGTAAAAGTCGTAGACTGAGCGACCCAGCAGATCCTCAGGAGTATAACCCATCAACTCTGTTACCCTGTAACACACACACATATAACACACACATTTAATAATGCACCGGATTTGATGCTATTAATTTTAACTTTTCTGTGATTTCCTTCTTGCACGCAACCCTGTCCTGAACTTCTGCACTTCAAAAGGCTTCACACACGATTTGGAAATCAAACAAGAGAGGTGAGCAGTCTTCCAAAAATAAGAATTGCTCACATTCTCTGTCTCTGCTAACTCCCTGTGTTTCTGGGAACAGCTAATCTCTCTCTGTCGCTCTCAACACAAGTTCACTTTGTTAATGAGGATTTTGTTGCTGGCTTTGAATTACCTCATTTAAAAACCTCCCCTTTTCCTTTTGTTTCTTTCCAGCTCTCTTTTCCCAGTGAATACCTCAATATACAGGTTTTGGGGGTAAATTACAGGATTACAGTAATCTGAAGAAAAAAAAGGCATTCAGTTACCTCGTAACATTCAGGTGCATTAAGTTACATGCATTTTTCTGAGAGTAGAAGATAAACATCAACTTAGTTAACACCAAACATACTTGGAGTGGGTTATTCGCTCCCTTAGTTTGGTGTAGTCTCTTCCCAACAAACTGCTGTGAGAACATGAGCCAAACCAACAACAGGAAATGACCCCCTAAACACAAGGTTTTATGGGCAAGGAGACCAGAGAGGATAAACTGGGACGATGAATGTAGACAATCCTGTGCTATCTCGAATAAATAAGCTGTTTGTAAGTGTTATGCAACCATTATGTATGAGCTTGGGTTGGCTTGGTAACATACAAAACTAACCCGTAGTGCAACTTACCTACAAAAGATTTTAGCACACTATGCAATGGATGTTTCATTTTAGTTTCTTTTAACTGATGGTGGCATCAAATTTAGCTTCCAGGCAAAAACTGTGAATGAGTCCCAAACAAGGATCTGTTTTACTTTTGCCCACTTTTTTGATATGACAAATAAAAAAAATTAAATTGAGCTTTCTGTCCATTTTTTTTTTACTACATAAACTGTATATCATGTTCTAACTTAAAGGTTATATATAGGCGATTTAAAACATTACTATAGCAGCAAACTATGTAAAGATAAAGTGGAGTCAGGGAGTCCTGAGCAGAGAAGATATCACCCTCCCTCTGCCTGTGTTGCTATCGCAGCCTCTCTGTGATTTGTTTACATCGCCAGTCTGCTTCATATGCAGCTAAGTAGAGCGACTGTAACTGCTGCTTTTATCATCTAGTTCAATGAATTAAATATTTATGTCAACCAAAGCAGAGATAGTGATTGTTGGAACAGTTTAAAGACTAACAGAGACTGTGTTGGTGAGTTTTATGTTGTTTCTGTCCACTTTAAATAAAGTTACAATGTTGCAAGGATATGCAAGGTAAAACTAACTTTTATCTGTGGAGAGTGGTGAGCAACAGCGATATTATGGCTGTTTCTGGTAAAAACAAAAGGCCAATCTCTGTAGCGACCCTTTCCATAATGTTGTCAGACACTTTTAGTGGATATTGGGTGCATTTGTCCACGAGGATAAACGTTAGCTTACGTTCGTACTTTCAATAATATTTTCGCATTCATCTGATGATTATTGCAGACTGTGGAAAGACTAAAAAAGATGGTTTTACTTTATTTTGGTCTCATTGCAACATTTCTATGTGCTGTAGCACTCAGTCTTTCTGACAAATACGAATTCCCAGACTAGAATTCCTGGAATTTTGGTCAAAATGTGTATCGTGAAGATTGATTTGAAATTACTAAGTCACAGTAGGAGGAAGATTAACAATGTGTGGATGATGATGTGTCGTATGGATTTGTTGTGAGAGTGACTGGGGAGAGAAGGAGAGAGAGGGAGAGAGGGAGAGAGGGGGAGAGAGAACTGGTGGTGCAGAGACTCTTCCTCAGATTACATAACACTGACAGATGCAGGCCTCAGAGTGGAGGGAGTGAGGGAGGGCAGAGAAAATGAAAGAGAGGAGAGGTAAAGTGGACAAAATCAGGTGAAAACCGGTGGTGAAAGGAGATGCTGAGGGAGAAAGTGAATTAAGGGCAGGGGCAAAGGAAGCAGTGGTTAGATAAATGGAAGATAGAAAATATAACCAGATGAGTAGTGTTAATAATCATATGCAATGAATCAACTGGACTTTTCATGAGTTTTAAACAAGTTGTATAAGCCTATAAGGTTGGACTTCTCCTGGATGTTGCCACTCATTCAGCATTTGGTCCTACTCACTCTTTCTCCATTACGTGAGAAGTCTCTTTCCTTTTTCCTTCCTTCCCTGCTCCGACTCTTGTTTTGTCTTTCCTTTCCCTACTCAACCTCTCACTCTGCCAGACATTAGCCAAAGAAACTTTTTGTCCCTTCCCTAATGAGTCTAAGTCCCTGCTGAGCCAGGAGGGCGACCCACCAACAATAAACTCATTTGCGTAATTGGAGAGAAGATTTGGGCAGCTATTAAACTGCACCAAAAAGGCGAAAAAGAAAATGGGTCCTTGTTTGCAGCACACTCATGCACAGACATGTGCACGCAATACACAAATGCAGAAACAAAGGTTTCTCCAAAAGAAACCTTTGTCCTGCATGAGCAACTTGATAAGATTACAGGTCTGCAAGCATTTGCTTGTGTAACTCGAATCAGTGTGTGTGTGCGTGTGTGTGTGTGTGTGTTCGTCATACCTCCTCATGCCAGTGGGAGAGAAATATTTGGGTGCAAACGAGCCGGTTCTTTGGCTTAAAGATGGCCTCTGTGCGTGTAACGAAGTTAAAGTCCAAAGGGACAAATCATTTCACAAACATGACACACACACACACACACACACACACGTGCTCTGTCCCAATGACATAACTGACATGTCAGATGGCAGCGCAAGTGACAGCTTTGAAATACTGGAATGTGTGTGTTTTTAGGCTAGTCTACACAGAAGTATCTGTGATTGGGAACACTTGCCACAATCTGACAATGTCGTGACAGCATCTTATTAAAGTATTAATGTTTCATCTCTGGCTTACATTTCCCACTGACGTCCCTGCCAAGTCAAACTGTTTCAGTCAACACACTGCAATCAGTCAGAAAGTCTTGTGTGTGTGTGTGTGTGTGTTTGTGTGTGTAGCTTGTGCTTTAAGTACTGTGTTTTAACTGGCAGAGGTCTACAACGTGAAGGTGCTGTTTTACTGAACTCTACTGCGGTTCTTTAAAGATTCAATAAGAACAGTAATTCTGTTTTTGTTAAATAATTTTTCAAGGACATTCTCTGGTTTCAAACTCTAAAATGTGATTTTTTTTTTATTTTGTTTCATATGGCTGTTAATTTAATTTTTATTGTTTATAAGGAAAAAATAACTAATTTCAAGACATAATTTCAAGCTCTGTTAACTTCTGATGGGCATTTGATTGTCCATGTGTGCATGGGTACATTTTAAGGTTTGTGTCAAAGAGGTCATCCTCTCTTTCCTCCGTCCAAAACTCTGACATTTCAACCAGCTGACAGACTGTAACTGACTTAAACGGCTGACTTTGCAACAGGCCGATTGGCTGTTGAAACAGGTGACGTTCTAAAAACAGCCACTGGATATTTGACAAGCTGAGTTGCACGCAACGCCATCAACCAGCTTGAGTCGACAACCAGTCGCACCACTAAAATTTTTCTCTGCAACTTTCTAAAACTGTGCTGTCTCGTCATAAATCTTTGGTCCGAACTGGGCTTAAGTCCTTGACATTATTACTGAAATAAATCAAACTGATCACACTTGTTTTCTCATTGCCCGAGATCCAAAAAGTAAAAGAAAACATTTTCTTCTCATTGTCTGACAGACTTATTCTACAGTTCAGTTCCAAGATAAATCCAGCTTACGGCCTTCATGATGAAGCACCAAAGACGGTGATATACACACACTATTTCTCCTCATAAACGTCTGCCCTTTTTCCTGTTTCACTATCTGTAATGCATCCAACCTCAAGCTGCGTGCATCCCACTAGGTATGTGTTTCTGTCTACCTCTCATCACAGTAGGTGAACTTCATATCCATGCTGTGTCTGCTCAGGAAGGTCTTGCTGTCCATTGGTGTATCGATGTTGGAAGGGTGTGGGATGGGTTCGCACATCAGGACAGCGCATGTGAGCGGAGGCTCTTTGAAGCCACACAGTCCTCGCTGAGGGCAGCTGTTGTACATCTTCAGTTGTCCGGTGCAATGCAGCACCTGGAGGGAGCAGCAGGAGGAAAAAAGTAACTTACACGGTGTTGCAATAAAGCTGGAGGTCAGTGGATAGGAGGTGACGCTGGTGTTTTGTGTTTTTATCAGCTGATATTGACCTGACGTCTTGTCGTTTTTGTCAAATTACCTGTTCATTAAAGGACTTTACATGCTAACACTTTAAAAGAACACTTTTGTTCTTTGCTACTTCTCGCACAGCCAGATTTGTGTCCAATAAATATCCATTTTAAGTTTTTTACTTAATTTGGAAGTGCATTAAATACATTTTAGGGGTTGAGTGATTGTTAACAGGATGGGAAAACAGAAAAAAAATTGCAAGAGAAGCCTATTTTTCAGCCTTTTGTGTAATCATTGCCTTTTCTTGTAAATTGCTGGATAATTGTATCTCCTCAGGCCTCTACGTTCTTCAAATAAATCAGTCTGACAAGGACAAATTGCTCTTTGGCTAACTGTGTAATATTTTCAGATAATCAACTTGTCTGGATGGGGCAGCAAATTGATCAATGTTTAATTTTAAGGCATCAAAAGCCAAAATAGTTGGAAACCAATGATCTATTGAATAGCCAACTAGAAGTAATCACTGTATGGAATGTATGGGATGTGTTTCTTTTATTTTCATAACCAAGACCTGCACACATGAGATGCACAGATGTTGCAGATGTGTTGGCTTGTAGCTGCAGCAGCTCTCTCTCACCTTCCAGCTGGCGGACTTAAGGTTGACGGTGCGTCCTCTGTTGGTCACCGTGCATTTCATCCTCATGAAGAAATCTCGTTCAGTGCTCAGCTCTTTACCTTTTTTACTGAAGCCACTGCCTGAAACATACAGTCACAGGGGGAGAGTTCAACCAATATTACTCCTGCAGGACAATGAACACGTGTGTTATATGTGGCTTCTGACAGAACATGGAAGAACAAAAGTAACTGTTGTTAGTGATGAATTTACAGAAACGCAAAGCAGATTTTTTTGTGTCATCAATGTTCTTGTTTGTTTTGTGAAGGCAATTACAGTTAACATCGCACAATTTTTCCGGTCTTAAAGGTCCAGTGTGTAACATTTATGAGGATCTATTGGCAGAAATATAACATAATATTCATAGGTATGTTTTCATTAGTATAATCATCTGAAAATAATCATCTGATAATAACAATCTTGCATTTTCGTTGTCTTAGAATGAATCATTTTTATCTACAGAGGCCACCACGGAGGCCACCATGTTGAACTGCCATTTTTCTACCATAGCCCAGAACAGACAAACGTTTTTCACAAGTTTCATGGCCACCGTTCTCTTGGAAGGCTGAGCTATAGACAAACAATTGGAATTTGGAACTTCAAGATGCCACTTAATCCTAAACACTGGTCCTTAATTATGTAATATGAATTACACTGTTACAAATTGCAGCTCAGACCCTTAAAGCATCTACTCTCAGTAATTTTAATGTTGGGTTGATTCTAGCGGCCCCTGTGGACAGAAGTGCTAGTCTTTCCAACGCTTCGTTTCGCCTGATTTCAAGGGGAATGCAACTGAATCCAACCAGGTGGAAGGCATTATGGCACTCAGAATAACTATTTAGAAATAGTCAGTCTTCTCGATTTTAGTCTTGTTTGTTTAACAATACAAGCCTTTAAAACTCATGTTTCACTTTCAGTTTGATGCTTTTGTCCTTTGAAACCACAGCAATAAAAACGTGTAAATATTTTACTTGTGAGTATCAGGAGTTTAATTTGACTTTTTTTCCTTTATGATGAAATGACTAAACTGAAGCCCAGCCACATAATTGCTGCTTGTAGCTATAATTAATGTATTTCTGATTATATTTTCTTTTATTGTTTTTAGTGGCAAACTGAACAAAAAAGTTAAAGGTAACCGTCCTCTTATCTGCCTTTCCCTTATGTCACTAGGAAAACTGTCAAGGTTTAGACTCGCTGAGGTCTCACACACACAGACGCACCCACACACAATCGCATACACTATGCTGTGGTTGATACCTCTTATCAGCAGTGGCCACAAAACACACAAGTCAAACAATACCGAATATTTTATAGACCGTTTCCCTTGAACAGACCTAATACACAAACATAAATGAACACACATATGAATAGAGGTTTCTTTTGTATTGTTTGTTTTGTTTAAGTATAACTATATAAAGATAAAGACACACTTGTGAGTGTGCAGATTGACAAAAGGCACACTTCACCACATAGCTCTGTGGCTGCAGCTCCGGGGCTGAACTCTGACCTTGTGATGTAACAACTTGGCCCAATTTCGTGTCCTGTGTGTGTGTGTGTGTGTGTAAGTGTGTATGAGAGAGAGAATTATCCTAAACCTTAGTCAGTTACATTTTCCAGTGTTATGCAGTTGTATTAATGTTTATTCTTTTGTGTAAAAAGAGTCTAGGCAGAAAAAAGAAAAGCAGTTTGTGTGTTTGACTTTCTGCTGAGGACACCACACTATTCTCTCTCTCAGTCTCTCTCTCTCAGTCTCTCTCTCTCTCTCTCTCTCTCTCTCTCTCAGTCTCTCTCTTTCTCTCCCTAAGCTCATAGCTCTTATCGTCCTTCCCTCCACTCAGCACACATAAACACCAGCTCCTGCACACACTCCCCTGCTGTACCTCCCTATACGGTCTCTGACCTTCTGTTCTCTTGTTTGTTCTGGACACTTGTTCATGAGATAGACAATATTACATAACGCCACACATGTATGGGTTTTTGCCTTGTTTACCTTGAATTAATTTCATATCTGAACTGTCTGTGGGCGGACCCTGACACAACGTATGAAGTCTGAACAAAGCAATGTATATGTTGTACTTCTCACTTATTCTTCCATACTTTAGTTACTGTGCAAAGGTGCGGGGCAACCTATATACAACTAATATAAATCTACTATATATACACAGAAAAGAGGAATTAGAATTAAAAGTAAATTGAATTCAATAGATAGTTTATCAAGTCAAGGGTTATAAAATTAAAACATGTAGTTGTTTAAAACTTTATCAGTTATATTTAGGGTGCTTTAAGCATTATTAGACCATCTATGGTTGACCATTATTGAACTAGTTCTGAAAAGGAGGTATGTAAAATAAGATTTTTCTGTTTAATATGAATTACATTACAGATTGTATCCTATATTTTGTGCACAACTGAGCCATCCAATCCAAAATGAATTTAATTAATCAATTCAGCTAACTAAGAAGGAACACCAAAAATTATGTCACAAGATAAGAAAATGCTAATATTCAGTATTTCCATTTATTTAATATGTACAAGATGGAATTGTGAGTTCTTCCCATTCTTCTCAGTCTACCGACATGGTGTGAATGTTGCATTAGGAACAAAGTTGTCCTTCCCTCAAAGTTCAACACTTGTGATGAGTTTTTGAGTTTTTTTTTACTTGTGAGGTTGGAAACATTTGTTTATTTGTTTATACTTAATTTTTTCTTTATTTGTGCTATAAATTTGCCCTGATTTGTTCTTACACCTTTGTCACACTCTTGCTTGTAGTTAAAGTGTATATTTATTTGGATATATTATTTTCTTCTCTGTATGTTTTTGTACTTTATTTTACTTAATTCTTACTCATTTCAAATTTCCCTTGATAAAAATGTTGGTTCCATGACCTTAAAAACTAATGGCCAAAACTTCAGAATCAACTTCTTACTTCTTACTACTATAATACTACAGCAACAACTCTCAGGTCAAAATATTAATTTGCAACACAAGACATGTCATAATCGATGTGAATTGCCGAGCACATTTATGCTTTTATGGGACCTGCTGATTAGATGACTCCATGACTGTTGCTCTAGTTACACTTCTAGAAGGAATAAGACAGATTTACTGTAGTTGTCGAATAAAGAGGGCGGGTGAGAATGACACACACAAAACTTGCATGACACTGACATTTGTTTGTGGAACATTGTTGTAATGAGGTAAAAACAAGAATGAATATGTGGATAAAAGGTGTGTGTGCTGACCAGCTGTCTTCAGGCTGAGATTTTCCCTGATCTCCTCGTGATCACATGGATGGGTGAAGTCAAAGATGCTGTGACCGGTGAGGTCCACCTAAAAAATAAAAAAAACTTTGTGAAATATAAAAGATAGAATAAACAAACATAATATCATAACATTTTTATAGAAATACATATCTGTGCTGTCACTGTCAGAGTATCTGGTCTCAAAACTCTGACATGCTGTGCTTTTAATTTCTGGCAGCAGCAACAGTGGTTTGTTTTGTGATAAACAGAAGAAGAACTGGGCTGTGAGCACGAGTAATGACAGCCAGACAGATCGAACAAATAACAGAAAGTGTGTCAACTCTACACACCCAAATTGCTTCGACACTAAACAAACAGAAGCTCATCGGCGTGGACGCTGAAGTAAATCAACAAAAAAAGAAGAGCCCATGCTTCACAATTTACAGTCAACTTCACCTCGTCTACCATTTACTTTTTAAGTCGGTGCCAGAGAACGACAAAATGCTGAGTTTGTTTAGAGTTGAACCTCAGTGTCTGGGCTGAACACACACTGCTAGCATGAGAAGCATTTCACACAAACACAATAGACTCGTCTGACGGACAGTTAATGTCCATGTCTCCGATTGTGACTCCCTGTCTGTGTTAAGGTTTTCCTCTTTGCTTTTTACACTTAAAATAGCAAAATATATACAAGTAATTTATACCACAAAACAGAAAGAAATACTTTTCATTACAGAAAACGGGAGAGAAATTCATTCATACTAAAAGTAGTATTTGTATATTGAGTCTGCAGTAATTACATCTGCATGGGTCAAGTTTATTTTATTCTCTTTTCTTATTCTATGCTTCAATAATCATAATAATGCTGTTGGTTTAGTGTTATAATAGTGTTGGTGAAGACATAATCAAACTAAATCAATTAAATGAAAAAAAGAAAAAAACTTGCTGGTAAAACTGTGAGGACGTCACAGACATCATATACAGTATGTTTAAGCCACCCGGTCTAACCCCCACTTTCTGTCATATCTAGATGCGCCCACAATCTAAGTCAAATGACATAACTCCACATATGGAGGTGGCAGGGTGAGTAGATGGCTTAAACAATCACAGGACTTTAACCCAGAAGGCCGCTGTTCGTGTCCAGTGTGAAACCAAGACAATTTAAGTTCATGTACTTTATGTATTAGTTTATGTACATGAATTACGCAAGCTTTATTTGCAATGTTTGACAGTCTTGGGTTGGTAGTATTTTAAACAGTTCGAAAGCTTTAAAATGTATTAAAATTATTGACCAAAAAACGGTATTGTCTTTATTGATTGGTTTTAACTATAGCGTATTATTAATAACGTGGCAATGTGAGTGTTTTTAACACTGTACTAATAACTAATTCAACAACTCTGCTAGTGTGGATATTAAAAGTGAAGTGACTCATCACGTTCAAAATGAATGCCTGTCTGCACGTGTGTTTTATTCTATTCCTGGTGCCCTTTAACGGCTGTGTACCTGCGTGAGCCCCATGAATTTGTTGATGTTCTCGGACAGGAATATCATGTCGCCGTCTGACGTTACCACGGTAATGAAGCCCTCCAGAGACTTTAGGTACAGGCTGTCCATCTGTCTGTCCTCATCGCCATCACTGCTGCTGCTGCTACAGCCTGGAGGGAGAAACAGAAAACAAGGTGGGTTACACAAATTGTTTCTCTCATTTTGTGCTGATTATAAATGGATATCATTGTAAATGTGTGTGCGTGATTTCTTTGTGTGTGTGTGTGTGTGTGTGTGTGTGTGTGTGTGTGTTGTGTGTTATGCGCACATCAGGCGTTTTCCTCTTGAAGCAGTTGGGCTCGGGCCAAGAGGAACAGAACCAGTGCAGCCTTCTTCCTGCACTCTCAGGCCACTCCTGAAATCCGCGCCCTGACAAATTACACCCCAAAACTACCACAAGCTTTTCATAATAGCTGCCCAGCTTTTAGAACAGTAACTTGCAACATTATGCATTATAGTTCAAATGATGTGACACGCGCAGTGTCCAAAACATTTATGGAGACACAGAGACTCCAGTGCTGTCCCACAATGTCTCATATTCCTGAGTAAATTAAAACAAAAAACAGCGGCTAGCGGCCTAAGCTGGGAGCCAGCCGCAAGGAAGGGTGTGTGTGTGGCGGACCCGCGGTGCTTAGCGCTGAACATTAAGCCCAGAGCTGATGGGGTTAGAGGCTCCTCGCCCTTCCCTTTAACTTTGAGATAAGGAAAGGGCCAAGTTCTCCAAGGGCTCCCGGCAAAGGCTCGGGGCTTTAGTTGGAGCTTGGGCCAAGATAGCGTTAGACCCCCAGGCCAGAGGAGCTTCATGACATGGGCAGAAGCGCTTTGGGAGATCTTCAAGGGCTGAGTCCTAAAAGCGGGAGAACCACGGGCACCCTAGCCTAACAAATCACAAGAGCTGCCGATTACCAAGTCATTATCTATTGTCTCGAGCACCGAGCGTTACAGCCTCCTCTACTTATCTTCATCTGTTGTTCTTTGGCATGTGTATCACTATGCTCCTTTGTTTCTCATAAATAAATTAGATTAAGTGTATGGAAACGATGTATCAAGGGACAAGCTGCTCGTTCATTGAGGGTAGCATTCCTCTCTCACTTTTTTGACTATTGTTGGTTCTGATCGACACTGAACAGATGCACAAGCTGCACAAGGAACATCTCGAAGGAAGACTGTGTAGTTAATTCTCACAGGTGGTGTGCCTATTAATATTCACGAATTCAATAGCGGTGGGGGTTTCTTTTTTTCTTTGCCTGTACACGACAAGTTATCAATTTCCTGATTCACTGCTTTTGGATCACTTTGCCTCGAGCCAACAGGTTATCAAAACAGGTAGAGACTTGAAGAAAGGACCAGACTTC